CAAAGCTTAGACATCCGAACACTGTTTTAATGCACCACTTATTACGTCCTCGAATGAGCGCGGACTGCCCAAACTGACGACGTGGAGTTATAGCTGTACCTAATCACAATACCCTTCACCTATCCATAAGTTATACATTTCTATTTACTTCATTATCATTTATGTAGAACCACAGTTGCTTCAGTACACTTTATTCTGCCCACCGCCCTTCATTCTCACAGCCCAGGTCGTGCGTTTAGATAGGTGTCGTCAGCTCGCGTTTGAACAGCCATTTCTGCAGTAACAGTTCCTATCTACAAGGCTTCTGGTCTTATTCTTTCGGGTTTCCACCGGATATGGAATGTGTGGATGGAGATGTGAGTAGTAGAATAGAAATCACCTATTGTTACACCGTAGGCGCAGGAGTCCTGTGGCTGCTCGCGGTCACAGTGACATACGACTGCGGAAACAAATGCCACCCTACCATATGCTGAGCCATCTGGCTCTCGTGTTAGCCAAGAGTCTGTTAATCAAATCATAACGCTCCGCAAACTATATGAGCACCATCACTTGTTGCACGATCACTCACGTTACTCTCTTAGACACACAAATTGTGTCTAAAACGGTCAAATGGCGCAATTCGCAAGAGAACAAAGCCCATGAGAGCATATCGCCATCGTTCGAGCGCTATGCGTCTATGTCATAGGTAGGATGAGGGTTCTGGTTATGTTCCTACATCACCTTGTTACTGATGGCGCGCAACAATGTTGCCCTACAACTCAGATCCTCTTCGAAATGATGACTAAGCTAGAGCTACGCGAGAAGCGCTTGACAAGGCCGTTAGAAGTTCATCAATAGGTCTCGGAGTGCCCACTGTGTGCATGGACGGCGACACGCAATCCCGATTAAGGCCACGGTTAGGATAACATAGTGGTAAAAATATGGTATGTATGGGGCTGGTACTAACTGGCTCTCGCACACAACCTGAAGTGAAAGCCAAAAAAGTTGGAGAGTTTTGTATACTTAGGGAGATGTGCCTCTATTGGTTTTGAGATCGAGAAGGAGCTGTCGCTTAATTTCACTAAAGCCAAACTAAGACTGTTGTGGGATATCGTTGTGGGATCACGTTCTAGTTGAAAGACAGAGCCAACAAAATCATTGCAATCACCGTTGAGCGGCATTAGGGAATCGGCCAAAATAATTAATGCTTGTTATTTGCACTGTCGATGCGAAATTTGACTGGAGAGAGGAAAATATTGATTTCTGCTTGCGTTTGAAAACACAGGGATGAACAATGGTAAAGTGTTATGCTTAATTTCAATCCGGATTACCTCAACACCCAGGGCATGTATGTCTTCCGCTTCAAAGTGGAAACCAGCTGTCAAGCGTCCGAAAACAAGAGTGAGAATGTAAGCAATCATGAAGTCAAACGTACCATCCTCGGTAGAAAAGATTGTGAGGACAATCACTTTTAGCGCCTCGATAACTTCAGTGAAGATCTTATGCGTTACTGAAAGCGCAGACAGAAAACAATGTATGTGATTTCTCCGATGAACATGGCCGATCGCGATGGTTCCCCAAGGTTCCACACTGGCGGCACTTTCTCATTGCGTTTGTCCGGAGATGAAGCGGCTTCAAATGTCGGTCAAGCCGGTGTGGGTATTGCTCTTAGCCTACGAGATGAATCGATTGGATCCCAATGAACATCCGGATGTGCACTGTCAGATTGGCTGACTCATTCAAAGCATCGAAGTTGGCTGCGGACAAACGGTGCCTGTTTGTCACTGCGGCCTATGCGTCCGAAAATTGTAGCGCTGACTCGGTGAAAGACGACTTCTATCAACAATTAAACGCGCTCCTCCGTCAAAGAAACGGGTAGGGATACTGTGGTACTTGTTGGTGATTTGAACACCCAAGTCCGTGAGTTTCATCGGGGCGGTCAACACAGTGTAGGCTCCCGCAATGATAAAGGTGAGCGGTTGCTACACCTGTGTGAAGATGCTCGTCACTTTTTTACGAGCACTAACTTCGACACAGCACCGCCGGAGGGTGACATGGCGCGCACTAGCCTCGGATCAGCCATGGACGTAAATCGATCATACTGCGATCAGTTACCGCTGAAGATGATGCGGCCAAAACTGTCGCTTGATTTGAAGCACAAGTGTGGGCTCTGAACACGCCCTTGTTTGCGCCGGCATTCAGGTGCGTTTAGGTGGACGTCCGCAACGGCGCTGTGATCGCATAGATATTTACCAGCTGGTGAAGCCAGATGTTCTGAATGCAAACCAAAGTACGCTGGCATCTGAGCTGAGTAAACCCCATTGAAAACAGTTGAAGGTCATTGGTCGCATATCCGCTAGACATTAATAGCAGCAGGCATGTCTTCATGCGGTAAATCAAATTGTCAACCTGGACATTGGGTCTCTACATTCTCATGAACTTATAGATAATAGCCGGCGTGTTCCGGCTGAAAGAGAATACAATGAGAACCGCAAAGCTCTCAGGGCGAAACTATGGGCTAGGCTGAAGAGATACCGTGAAGTCTGTTGGTCACATCGTGCATCGCAGAGGAAGCAGTCGCTGCCATTGGTAACCATCGGAAGTTATTCCGTTTTATACGAGAAACGAGCAGCAGGAAACCTGGTGTTAGCGAGACCTAATATGATGAGAGTGGACGGCCGATCCACAGATTGTCAAAAGGCTTGGAGCGTTCGGCCGAACACTTTGTGAAGCAGTTTAATCAGTCATAGTTGCCAGTTTTTTAATCGGCCAAGGAGCACCCTTCTCCCCGGGGCCGTTCCCTTGGATACGCAACGCGCGCAGAAATCGAAGGTCAGATCGGACAGCTGAAATTGAACAAGGCCACAGGAGCAGATGAACTTCATTCAGCCCACTTCAAATTTGGGAAACTTGCTTTTTTGGACGATTTACATATATCATTAGTGAATCTAAGGGAGCAGGAGACTATCCCGAAAGACTGGTCGTTCCTTAATAGCACCAAGTTTCAAGGGAGACTATCGTTCGTAATGCGGCAGTAATAAAAGTATCAGTCGGATCCCCAATGCCATTAAAGTGCTTACGTCTGCCGTCCTACATAGACTGACTAGCACTCGTGAAAGCCAGATGCGAGGGGAGCAATCCAGGTTTCGTCGGAATAGAGGCTGCATTGACCACATTTTCACATTACGTCAGTTGTAGCGACACTCCCATGTTTATCGGCGACCTACCGTAGCCGTGTTCCTAAACATCAAAGAAGCTATCGATTCGGTTTATCGAGCTACCCTTTAGGACTGTATACTCAGGAAAGGAGTGCCCAAAAATATGTAAACATTATCCGAGCGCTATACGCTGCCGCCACCCTTCAAAATCTCCAGCAATGTGAGACAAAGTTAACCCTTGTCACCTTGCCTCTTTAACTTCGCCTTTGACGATGTCAGGGAAACGTCGTTCGCCGGGCACGAGTTGAAAGGTGTGGAGCTGCTCCCGATGAACGACTTCTCGACTTGTAGTATGCCGACGACATTGCGCTCGTCTGTGACAGCCCCGAACGTGCCAAGCTGCACTGGATAAATTAGCTCCACCTGTCAGTCGCTTCGAGGTATGCTTGGCACCATCGACATGCAAAGTTCTTCACCAAGATTGGCAGGCACCCACATTCCTGCACTGACCCTTGGCGGTGATAATTTAGAAGTCGCCTAGAAATTCAAGTATCTGGGCAGCTATATCAGCGCCAATGAAACAGTATAGCAAAAGCTCGATGTGCCTTTACCGATCTCCGCCACCTGTGGCACCGGCGTGACATTACTCTCGCTCTGAAGAGCAGAGTTTACAGAGCAGCCGTCCGTAAAACCCTCCTGTACGGTTGAGAAAATTGGCCCATCAAGTCGACAGACATAAAATGGCTAGTCACGTCCGACCATCACTGAATTTGCGAATTAGCTCATGTCTGGCGGCAGCACCGCGAGCAATGAGCATGTTCGGGGACGCGTAGTTGGTGCAGGAATAGCCAGTGGACCGCTCAGCACCGTTATATCACGCACCAGGCTCCGACGGCTGGGCCATGTGCTGCGCATGATAGCCCACCGACTCCAGCGACGTACGTTGTTTGCAGGCCGGCTATGTGGATGGAAGAAGAGGAGGGGAGACCAAGCGATGACTTGGTCGTGAGGAAGTCCCATATTTTGAAGTTGACGTCGGCTGATGTTTCCCGACCGCCTGGCTGGGGACCGAAGGACGATGAACACACTTGGTTGGATACACTTGTTGATATGACGAAAAGTTGACCTCTGTGGCGTTAGTGTTGCGAGTCCCTTTGTCCCTCCTCATCCCTATAGCATCCTTGTCCAACAACTATCAAAATGTGATTTTAGCATTGTGTTACTGTTTTATAGTTTTTAGGTCTACATCGCTTAATGTCTGACATGTGTGTTGCAGCACAGCTGTGTGTTTCTCACCCTCGGCTAATGTGTATTCGTGATGATGATGATTTCCCACAATGTAGCAACCCAAAATATATTTCTTATGTACATATTTGTTACTCAATCGTACATTAATGGTTTTTGTATTAACGCCGACCCTACGGCCATTTTACCTACATCCGGCTCATCACTTGTGTCCACAGTGAGTACCGACACTGACGTACGCTCTCGTCGCTTCATCCGTTTTTCGTCGGATTGTAGCGTTTCTCGAATACAATTCGTGGAGTCCGTTCTTCCGGTTTTCTGGTATCCGCACCAGAGCAAGGACACTCTCGGACTAGTATAGACTAATCCTACAACGTCGTGCCAACCATGACCAGCAACCTGCTTATAGTATTACCCTCAGTAAATGACACAAAGCACGATGTAAAAGAGCACTGAATACACTGTTCAATCTTAGTAATGTCAACGATTAGATGACCAAGTGTAAAACGCCGAAAGGAAGTAATTTCGGAACAAATGCTTGTCCCCAAGTTGCGTCAGTTTTCCATAGAAAGTGCGCCTTGATTCGATGATGTGGTAGCAATGAGCAGTCGAACTTACCGCACCAGATTCGACACTCTGATATAAACGTCTCGCCGCAAATTGAATCCTTCTCCGTGGAAAACGTCATACAGTAAATATCTTTAAGTGAAAAAACGAGTTAAAGCAAACGGCGCGGCTAACCTTTTACAAGATACCATATAGGAGCACAAAAGAATGCAAAACGGCAACAAGGTATTTGGCATCTTATCGCTGAAATGAAAAGAAATTTGAGTGCATTAATGATAGACGTAATGCTATTTGAAGACTGGTGTTGCATTCATGATGCTTCTACACCGCAGTTGGGTTAAACCAACTTACATCTAAACTAGGTCTTTTTAAGCTGGATAAATTTCATTCCACTTCATTTGCTTTGTTCTGCCTACCTGAATAATCTTGTATTAACTGGCCACGTTGCTTACGCTAATTGTGGTTATTTTCGTTAACTTCGTTCGAGTTGGTAGCATCTTTTTGAGTAACTTGTGGACATTTTGTACCTATCGCGGATTCGTTGCTAACCAACTTACTTCATATGCTAATTTAGCGAGGAGGTATATCTGCATAGCCATATACTTTAACAGATTTATTTTATTTAATAATGTCATTTCAAGTGATTGGCTGTTGTTTGACATCCTCGGTGTGGCTGCCTACCTGTCTATTACCGACTACTTCGTCCATACTGACTCCAGGACGCAGATGGTCGTTGCAGGAGGAGACGGGGTGCACGATCATTGTAGCCGTGTTAGACTCGAAGAGTGGTTCCATGCATTCACTGCAAAACGAACCACGGTCCATCCACCGGCTTGTGTATGATTGATTCCCAAATACAGCGTGCTTGCGTTTGCCTGTGATGGAGTGTGGACCGGCTCCGTTGATGAAACATGGATCCCATCCACATGCCTCCCGATCTTATTCCTTCGGGTTTACACTGGATGTGGGATGTGTGGGTGGTGCAGCGCAAGCCACCGATGGTCCCTCTGTAGGCGCAGACGTCCTGTAGTTGGCCACAGTGACAGACAAATTCGAAACCGGATACCGCCAACCAACTAGGTGAGTCACCAGATCAAAAATGATGCGATACGCTCGCAGTGTTCAAAACAGCTCATTTCAAACCATTTAATCAAGTATGATTCGTGCACCAAAGTGCGGTGGACTCTGTGGCTATGATACATACCAGTAAGAAAATAATAATGATAATAACAGTAACAATAATAATAAACGAGAAATCAAGGGGAATGAACAAGAACCAATGTCGACAGATGGAGTAGTTCGAAGAACAAATGGAAAAACGAGAGTGCCCGACTGACTTCGTAACCGCGCCACATCCAACAGGAAATTCGACTGTTATGACTGATGAAGACAGCCCACAACCAGGTTAAACAATGCAATGAGTATCTTGTTTTTGATATAGCACTGAATGGTGGCCACTGGATTTCAACAAATCCGGTGCGGTGTTGGTGACGCCCAGAATAAGGATTGGGTAAGCCAGTGTTACGAACACGGGAGCTAGAACCGAACAGTCTTCTCTGGTTGAGCCTTGAGGGCACAGAAGCAAACGCCGCCGAACAAGGCGCGATGACAGAGAGTGAATGACACAGTGAACGTTATATAGGATAGAAGAAATCAAAATATAAGTTTCTACAAGTGTAAGTGACAAGCAAAATGTTTAGGTAACAGAGAACACGGACGGGCTTAATTGTAGGAACATGCTGTTCTGATAACTGCAAATGACTGCGGTAAACGGCGCACACTATTTTTCCGGCAAGACATTTCGTTCTGTTTCAGTGCGCAACCACAGTTCCGAATCAGAGATGCTCTGCTGCTCCGCGTTAGGATTAAGCTAACCCTAACAGTTAGAAATCATAAAAAGTATCTCACGAATGAGCAATCAAACGCAATGCGAGTTGAATTCAGTGACAAAGGAAAACCCATAAAGTTTGATGACGACACTCCCCCAACCAAAACAGCTACTACCATCATTGCTGCCTTGCTTATGAATTCAAGTGTACAGGTAAGGTGGAATCTGGTTGACGTTCCGAACGCATATTAGGATATATTAGCCTCAAGAGGGCTTTGTGCTCAGACACTGAGATGCAGTGGGCGCACAGCCGCAGGGCGACGCACAAGTCTGCGACATTGGTTTGTGGTTTCACTAGTAGTCCTGTCAAACACTTGGTCTCTGCACAATCTTCTCAGTATCTCGAAGCACGTCGAACAAATCACTCGGATGTTGAGTAACACTCACAACCCTAGACAACCAACAAAGAGCGCAAGAAACTTCCACGGTCGGAAGGCCTGGTGGATACAGCGGGTCACCAATATGGAAAAGCGACGTCACGGACGAGATCAGTTCATTTATGCTTAAAAAACCATGATCCGAGCACCGAAATGCGGTGGATCCCGTTGCAACAACTCAGGTTTCCAGAATGACAATAAACAACAACAGCAAGAAAATGAAAAGATGGAATGTAAAGAAATGAAAAAAGAAGTGCGTTAAAGTAATCAGGGCGGAGTTAAAAATAACAAATAGAGGTGAGACACCGAATTCAGCAACGCCACTGACTTCGGGACTGCACCATGTCTGATAGAGTTTCCAAATATCGGTGTAGACAACGCGGTGACCCCCCACTCACGAAGACGGTATGCAACAGCCTAATCAAGTCTCTCAGTCGATATTATAAGCCTTCATGCCACGTCACGGACCGGCCAAATCGCAGTTTCACCAACTTAGTGCGGCTACGGTGCATAATGCACGCCGACGAAGCCGGTCAGCGGGCACACGGAGGATATTCCCTAGCCAACCTAAGCAATAAGATTCAGCAAACACCCCAGCGAGGCACCAGAAGGCTTCTTGTCAAAAACCAAGTAGCGAAGCTCAGCATTGCTCACTCGGTGTTCTCACCAGACGTGAGCAATACTTCGCAAGCACCGCTAATCTATCTTTGCGGGAACTGGCCAGGTCTCTGATCCAAACAGTAAGACCGGTCTTACCGCAGCAATATACACCCATCCTTTCACTGACATGTTGATATCGCGCCGTCTCCATAGAAAGTTGAGCCTCTGGTAAGTCACAAGTGCATGCTGATATGCATAGTAACCTCCTTAATGATAAGACCATTAAAGGTGACCGTCCACCATTTCTAGAGGTTGAGTGCTGACAGTAAAATCGTTGGCGCCTCAGTCTAGTCCTGAAATAGTACTTTACAGTTTGAAAGTGTAAAGTACATACCGAATCGTGCAGCGCTACGGGTAAGTCTATCCAGCAGTGTTTACAAACCCACTGCGTAAGACCTAAGGTGAATCTTGTCGTCAGCATATGCAAGGTTTGCCAGTCGGTCCACTGGCAGAACTTGCACTCCGGTAGATGAAAAAATCAGTTATTCATGATCATTACGATAATAAAGTGAAAAGGGGAATGAGATGAATGACAAGCATGACGAACCCCATGTGGTGGAAAACTCAGGAGACAGATTTCCTTAGACCGTTAATCACCCTCAGGAGTCACGGCAGAGAGTTCAGAATAACAGGGAGTTTAGCTGGTAGGTCTTTCATGGATAGATGATAACACTAGCTGTTGTGTACAACAGAGACAAATGCGGATCTTAAATCAAGTAAAAACACCATAGTCAGTCATTTTTACTATTGTCTTTGCTCTAAAAATTGGCGAAAAGAAAATATGTGGTCGATGCAACCACGACCAGAGCGGAAACCGGCCGGGTTTTCAGTGGTTCAGTTCTCACGAGGACCAGTAAGTGGCCAACGGATGGTACCCATGGGAAGTTTTGAGGCAATGGAAATAAGGCTAATGTCTAGATGATTTTCGCACAAAGTACGCTTACCCCTCGTGAAGATGGTCACGACAGTTCGTAGTCTCCAATCTGAAGGCACACGTTCAGTGCCTTAACTCGTGTCAAATGGAGAAGCGTCCAGCGAACAAAGAGTCACTACCATCTCTCAGCAAAAAGATGAAGGAAGGTTTTCGGGTCCAGGAGCCTTGTTTCGTTTCAATAACGTGAGCTCATGTCGAATCTATTCTAAGGTAGTATGTGTTACATCAATGTTTCAAGTCAGTTCAGGTGATTCAGCAAGCGGCAATGTCGCAGCAGGCCCGGGGAACTGCGCTTTCAAATGTTCCGCCCAAAGAGCTTGACGACAAAGCTAAGAATAGACCAACTGTTCATCCTTTTCAGCTATTGTCTCACTAATTGATGGCTTTCTCTGGAACATGATCCGGATGAGATAGAACAGCACTCGGCTGTATCCAATAGAACCGGCATTCTCCATCGCACGAGCAGTTGTCATCCACCACCATTCCCGATCGAATCGAAGAATACTAGTCAGTGGTCGTTTCAATGCGTTACGAACGTGCTGAAATTTGGTGCAGATGGGAAACTGTTTACGAGCTTCGATCAAAGTGATCGACGCCTAGGAGGTACTTTCATAGTTCGGACATCTCAAGATAGGCGTGCACCAGGCGTCAAAACATCCTTGCGCAATACTTTAGGTCGTCTAGCGCTTTCCTGGATGTGTGGTGGCCGCCTGCCTGTAAATAGCTGCGAGGAATCTTCACTTAACCCAATAAATCCACCACTACTCACTATTAATCAGTAATTCCCTTTGCAGCTCATATGCCATCTCGATTGGTGGCGGCTTGGAAAAGAAGTCGTTGCTCTCGGGGCCAGCCCAGTCCACCGTACATTCACAACATTCATGACAGTGGAGGATGAGCCGCGCCGTATCGCAGTGGGATATCAGCCATGGCGGTCCGCTGCCGTCACCTATGGCTGTGGCACTAGTCGCTGGCTCAAAAAGAGTAAGGCCGTGAGTTCGAATCCGGCAGGTGCGTGCTACTGACAAGTCCCAATAGGACTAACCGGCCGTCTAGCGTTTTCCTGGAGGTATGGTGGCCATCTACCTGAATCTAACCACGACGAATGTTCACAAAACAAAAGAAATCCCCCACTAGTGATAAACGATCCAAGTTAACGATCGGCTAACCAACCTCATTCATCAATGACAAGGGTGAGTCAGTTCGTCATTATATTGTTTAACTACAGGCTGCAAGTTCAAGTGAGAAGGTTAGAAGTTAGGCGCTTCAAAGAAGCGCGAAGAGTAAGAGCGGAATCCAAGCATGTGCTCCAAATTGACCGACAGTCTTGGACTGATGTGCGCCAACTGTAGCTGTTGGCAATGTGGCCAACTTGGGTCCACGCC